ATTTTCCCATTTATATGGAACGGTATTTCAGTCTTTTCAGCATATTTTTTCATTTGAGGGACTTTTGGAACCATTATTTATTCTGTGGGCTTCACACAAAAAAGGCCCAATGAGAGGGGCTTTTCACCAAAAATCCCTAAATAGAAATATGAATTTTAAATTATTAACACAAGAAATATGAATGGATGAGCACTCTATATATAACCAAATCTTTATAGCTGAAGAAAACTTCGCGCTTCGGGAAAGAAATGCAGAAGACATTCGACGTAGGAGTGCTTTCCCTTTCTTCCCTTTCTATTTCAGCTTTTGCGATCCCTCCTTCCACCAAGGGAAGAAAGTGCCTTCACTCTGCTGCACTTTTCGCTAAGGTGAGCGCAGTTTACTATGTGATAAACAAAATGTGAAAATGTAAAAATTTATTAGACTTAACTTAGTACTCAGTAAGACACCACTTAATTTGATTTGATTTACTACTCAATTAAATCTCACTTACAACTTAATGATTAGGCAGCTTACTACTCAATTAAACCTCACTTGTTACATAATGAGGTTCTACTGACTATTTTATGAGATTTTGCTTACTACTAAAGTAAACACCACTTACTACTTAATGAAACTCTGCTTACTACTTGTTGATACTTTACTTACTACTCCATCAAACTTAACTTACTAATTCATTGGATTTTACTTACTTCTCAATTAAACTTGATTTACTACTTAATGAGGCTCCACTTATTATTCAATGATTTTTTTTTTCCTTAATTAGGTGAAATGTTGTTCTAAAAAAACCTTAAAATTTATAAATTAAAAATTCCACATAATGTTAAAATAAAACATAGATAGAGGCATAGATAGATTCTTACATGGAAAATTTCTTGAATTTGTAAAAATTAAAATCACCCCCTTTTACTTATCTTTTGTTAAAAAATTATAGAGAAAATCATTATTGTCCGTAGTGTGTGCAAATGAATTGGGAGGTCTCCCATATATATATTTTTAATCAACTAATTTAGTTGTATTCAATTATTGTCATTAATAAATGTTGTTCATGTTGTGGTAAGTAAAGGAAAGTATTTTTCGTAAATATATTCATTTATTGCCAATAATGAATGTTGATAAATAAGAGATATTCCTAAGTATATTTATAAATGAGAGCTCTTCTTAGGTAGATCTTCCTACAGATATTCCATTTATGTTTCAAAATATTGCGATATTAAATTTGTAAAAATATATTCATAGCCAATCATATGAATTTGCAGAGAAAAATTAAAATAAAATCATTGTCGATTTTTATATTCATAAAAAATTATGTATTTTTCAAAAATCCTAAAAGCTTGGTATATGAAATTTATATAATTTTTTTATTTTTATGAAATAATTGTGAATTTTAAATTTTAAAAAAAATTTAAACCTAACTTTGTTATATATTTTTTGATGTTTATAAAATTTGATTATGAATTTATTCTTAACTTTCTTAAATAAAATAACATTATACATTTTATTTCTTACACTTTATATTGTGTCTTAAAAAAAATAATAAATAAATAATTTTTTTTAAAAAAATAAACAAAATATGGAGTGAAAGCAATCATGTTAAAAAAATAATTAAAATATATATACAAAATGTAGACTGTAAGTAGTCAAGATAATGTGTTATTAATTTAGCACAAATTTCAAAATAGTACCTGTTACTTTTTTAATCAAATAATCTCTTGAAGGTGTCATTTTCAATAGTATGAGTTTATAAAATAGTAAGTTCTCTCATTATAAATAGTAAGTGTGACATGTTGCAATAGTAAACTAATCTTATAAATATTTCATTAAAAATATTCAAAATTATTTTGTTTGTGAGAATTTACCTTGATTTTCTAATTAAATATTAATTATTTACTTATCAATGATCAAGATAGTACCTTATCCAAATCTAATGGTGGATATTTATTCATGTACCATTCCTCTAGAGTTTTTTCTTCCTAAAGTTTTCTAGAGCGGTGTGTTGTATGGTTGAGATTTAATGACAAGTCACATCAATTTTTTAGCATTAAATCTCACCCATACAACACACCACTTTAGGAAACTTTAGGGAAAAAAAACTCTAGAGGATCCTTAGTGTATTTTATTCATGTACCATATCTCACAATTACTTCTTTTTTTTTTTGTATGATAGAATTTTTCTATTAGGTTAAGACTCACCCTCCCATGGAGCCCATACACTCTCTTCCACGGACTCAGTCAAATAATCTTCTTTGATGGGTGTTGATTCAAGAAAAATGTTAGATATTAATAATTTTTTTGTTAAATATTTTATATAAAGAGACTCACACCATATAAATTTTATGTAAATTCTCTATTCATATAAGATATTTGATAATAAATTTGATAAAATTTTTAAAATTTGGGCCATTACTCTTCAAGAAAATTGGTTATGGGCCTTTATTATTGATATGACAACGCTTTAGTGGCTATCCGTGAACAAGTGGTGTACGGGTAAGCCACGTGGAATATGAGAAATTTTATTTTCACATATCTAAATAGTTTACCTAATTAGTTTAAGATATATTTTTTCTCAATACACATAGTTATTAATTTGATTATCAATTAATTTTTTCAATCCATATATTTAAAGTTACAATTACACCCTTCACTTATAACCATCGTACACACACCACCAACCCTCTTTTCACACACTTTTGATTGATTTTATTTTCACATTTACCCACCGACGCCCTTAAAAAAGACTTTGGTCTGAAGTGAAATTTCTTCCATTAAAGACTTGAGTTGAACACCTCCGACCATTGTAAATCCTCCAAAATAGTATTGAAGGTAAAACCGTATATGTTAATTTGTTCTTAAGTGTGTTGGTGAGATTTTGGTATGTAACCAATCAATTTCCACCGCTCCACGTGATGGCACATGTGGTTATTCCCCGCATTGCTCACTGGTTAGAGAAGCACAACAAAACGATTGGAGAATTGTCTTCCAAGGGTCATATTCCTATAGATGAGATAGCAAAGGCGTATAAGCAAGTTGAAGCGAAGAAAGGTCCAGCTTGTGCACCTGTCGAAAAAGAAATAGAGATGGAGTAGGGGGCAAGTGAACCGTGTTTGGTTTGGTTGGCTTTTAATGGTAGTAGTTTGGTATGAGAGTTTCCTGGAAATGTGATGCGTTGAAAAAGTTTGTCTGGTACTAGTTATGTGCATATTGACTACTGTTGGACCTTGAAAAAGACAAATGGAGCATTATTTTCAACCGGGTTGTTTGTTCAATCAAAGTGGGAACAATGAAAAAATTAGAGTTTAAGGATTGTTTGGAGTGTCTTAAATAAGTGTATTTTTTATTATTTTTGATTAAAAAGTTGAGGAAAAAAATATGAATATTTGAGTTAACTTTTTAACTTTTTATTGAAAAGTGTATATTAAAAAATTATATAAATAAATATGTAGGAAAAGTTAGTGATGGAATAAGCGGTATGGTCGGAAGCGTAAGGGACAGCACCGCAGAGGATAGAGGTAGGAGATTGATTCTCTCATTTTTTGACATAAATTGGACGGTGCTATTTGGCCCATGGGGACGCACCACGGGTCCCGTTTTGCTAATCGAAACCGTTCAATGTGTAGAACTCGTCGAGTACTATATGCTTGTAAAAAATCACATTCATTTTTTATAAAAAACGAATTTGATCATTAGTTACCGATTTCCGATCAACTTGATTTTTTACAGACATATAGTTCTGGACGAGATCTACATATTGAACGGTTCGAATTATCAAAACGGGACCCGTGATGGGCCCCCACGGACCCAACATTTCCGTCCAACTTAGTGATTTTATATATGTAATTCTATTTTTTTTCCCTCTCACTGTACTAAAAGGTCAATTCAACCCTGAAAATTGTGTAAAGTTTGTTTGATTAAAATATCATGTATATTAATTTTTTAATATTTTTATTTTGTGAATAGTGATAACTTTTTTGCTTTTTTTTTTTTATAACTTTTTGACTTTTTAGCTTTTTTGAAACACCTCAAACCAGGCCTTAATTTTTTTTTTAAAATCAAAAGGTATATATTGAGTTTTTTTTTTTTGTTCTTAAAAGATATGCACTGAGAATTTCTCCATATTATATTATGGGTGTTGCTGAATGTCTATTATGGTAATTTTCGTTTAGGATATAATTGTCATTAAATTAACATTTCATTAAGTGTGTGTCTTGAGTTAATTAGGTGTGTGGAAATAGAATTTCTCATGGAATAAGGTCTGATAAGGGTAGGAATATTAAATTTTTGAGTAAATTACGAACACATTATCTGAGGTTTACTTAAATTATAAATTATTTCTGTGATATTAGAAATTATATTATGCCTCTTAAGATTTTTAATTTCATAACAAATAGGTCTTTTATTAATAAATCATCAAGTTAATTAACAGTTTTTAATAATGTTAAAATTTTATTCCAATTAATAATTCAGATAATTGTATTATTGTATAGGTGAACAGTTAGAAATTTCACTTTTTTCAATTAATTCTGTGAAATAAAGATTTTTGGCAAGGAGGTATTTGTAATGTTTGAAACCACAAGGGGTAATTCATATTTTAAGTAAATTTCAGAGAGTATATTTGTAATTTACCCTAACTTTTTTTAATAAATAAGCGTAAATTATATATTTATGTAAAATATTTGATTATTTATTTGATAAAAAATTTAAAATATATAGCATTTTTCGTCCTTAAATGAGAGATTTATGGCTAAGCTGTAAATAACATAGTATTTGTTTGAGAAATGATTACGAAATTAAAATAGTTTTAAAAAAATAAAATATATTACAATATTAATAAGATAAAATATTATATGTAAATCATAATTATTATTAATTTTTTTTACAAAAATCAAAAAAATTAAAAAATTCATTTTAAACTATACTTTTTCACCTCAAATTAAAATAATTAAAAAATCAAAAAATTAAAAACACAATCCACGTCCCAAGCCAACCTATAAACTCATCATGATAATGTATCTGCTCTTCAATTCATTCTCTTCTCACTAAAACACATCCTAAATATCCCTCTAATTTCTTCGGGAAACCGTCCGATATGTCGGAGGCCGACATTCCGCCACTAACCCTTCACTTCCTCGCTGTACTCTCTCTTCTCTGCTTCTTCTCGGGCGCCAACTCCGACGACCTCCAAATCCTTCTAAACATCAAAACCAGCCTCCAAAACTCCAACACCAACATATTTAATTCCTGGGAAACCCACAATTCTATATGCAATTTCACTGGAATTTCATGTTACTCAGATGGCTCAGTCAAAGCTATAGAACTATCAAATCAACAGCTCTCCGGCACTCTTTCATTTGATTCGATTTGCCAACTGAAATCGCTCCAAAAGCTCTCTGTGGGCCAAAACTCACTCCACGGACCAGTCACAGACGACTTGAGGAAGTGCGTAAGGTTACAGTATTTGGACCTCGGCAACAACTTCTTCTCCGGCGAAGTACCGGACTTATCGCCCCTGAATAGATTAGTGTCTCTGTATTTGAATAACAGCGGGTTTTCGGGTACTTTTCCATGGAATTCACTTTCTAACATGACGGGTCTTGTTGATTTGAGCCTCGGAGACAACCAGTTTGATTCTTCTATTCTGTTTCCAGCTGTGGTGGTGGAACTTACTCGACTGAAATGGCTTTACCTATCGAACTGTACTATTGAAGGTCGAATTCCACCGGGAATTGGGAATCTCACGGAGCTATTAAACTTGGAGCTCTCCTACAATAATATGTCAGGCAAAATTCCGCCGGAGATTTCGAAGCTTGGGAAGCTATGGCATCTAGAACTCTACAACAACGACTTGATCGGAAAATTCCCAGCTGGGTTCGGCAATCTAACGAGTCTTGAGAGCTTTGACGCCTCCACGAATCGTCTTGAGGGTAATCTTTCGGAGCTCAGGTCATTGACTAATCTAGCGTCTCTGCAACTATTCAAAAACGGGTTTTCCGGCGAAGTTCCGGCGGAGTTTGGTGAGCTCAAGAAGCTAGTGGTTTTATCGCTTTACACGAATCAACTCACTGGTTCTCTTCCTCAGATGCTTGGTTCCTGGGCTGATTTTGATTACATTGATGTTACGGAGAATTTTCTGACGGGTCCGATTCCGCCGGACATGTGCAAGCAAGGAAAGATGAAGGAGCTATTGATTCTTCAGAACAATTTTTCCGGCGAAATTCCGGCGACTTACGTGAACTGTTCGTCGATGACTCGCTTTCGGGTGAGCAACAATTCGCTTTCCGGCGTAGTTCCGAGTGGAATTTGGGGACTACCCAATGTCGGATTAATCGATATCGCCTTGAATCAATTTCAAGGTCCGATTACATCTGATATCCAAAATGCCAAATCATTAGTTCAACTATTGCTCTCTGACAATCAATTATCCGGCGAATTACCGCCGGAGATTTCGAAAGCTACATCATTGATCAAGATTGATCTGAGTTACAATCAATTTTCCGGCTACATTCCGGCGACAATCGACGAGCTCAAACAACTAGGGTGGCTTGCGTTGCAGAACAACAACTTTTCCGGCAACATTCCGGCGACAATCGGCGAGCTCAAACAACTAGAGCGGCTTGCGTTACAGAACAACAACTTTTCCGGCGACATTCTGGCGACAATCGGCCAACTCAAACAACTACGGCGGCTTGCGTTACAGAACAACAACTTTTCAGGAACAATAGAGTGATTATTTGACAGTCTTTGAGTATTCTTCCATACCATTTATCACTTAATATTTGTAAGTTCTTCCTCAAAAATCCAATCCAAAGTACTGGTTATACTATTTTAGAACCATTTTAATCAATAAATTTTAAGTTGAACAGCATGTGTATTTATCCTAGAAACAAAAAATAATTTCTCGACACAATATGTTAGGTTTCGACTCATTGTCCAATTTGCAAATTGATATGGTTTAATGTATTCTACAATATTTTCTATTGCACTGAGATTTGCGGCTAGTGATTTCTTATTAGTTTTGAATTAAATTGGAAGAAATTAAAAGAAATCGACTTTGACTTAGATTAATTACTAACATTTCACACGTGCTAATGGTGGATAAATTTATTTTTAAACTAATTAAAAAAATATAAAAAAAATTTTATTAAGAAAATTTTAACTTTTTTAACAAAAATGAGTGTTTGAAATTAACTTTTTAAGTGATTTTTTTTTTTAAAACTTTTTTAAGAGATAAAAAAAAAGTTCACGTATTTAGGAATAAGTTTTTTAATTGTATTGGAAATGTAAAATATTTTTGTTTGTTACTTAAATTTTTTGTTTTACCCTTCCAAATATGTAAACACCTATAAACTCACTCATAATAATTGTTTGGTTTTTTCAAATTGGTACAAAAAATTTTAAATTTTTTTTATTTTTTTATTTTTTTAAAATACCAAAACATTTTAACACTCTTTAGTTTCTTGACTTTTTAATAAAAAGATAACATCCCATATATGGCATGAGTTACATAAATTTTATTTTATTTTATTTTTTGTTGCTATTAATGTTTTGTCTAAGTAATACATAACAAATAGATATATAATAATTTAATTGGTAAAAATTAAACAAATATATTTTTAAAAATTACAAAAATTATACATTCGGTCAAGTATAATTACATTATCAACAAAATTCGTAATTATAATTCATCATACCACAATTTGTCAAGTGATGTAACAATTTTATATCTTTTTGTCTCTCTCCCACTCATCTCCTACCTCTTTTTATTTTTAAGGCGATGATCAAAACAAATTGAAATAAAATATTTAAATTTTTATATTTATTTCAGTAAGTACATTAGGAAAATATTCTCTTTTTATTTTATTTTATTTTTTGTTGCTATTAATGTTTTGTCTAAGTAATACATAACAAATAGATATATAATAATTTAATTGGTAAAATTTAAACAAATAAATTTTTAAAAATTACAAAAATTATACTTTCGGTCAAGTATAATTACATTATCAACAAAATTCGTAATTATAATTCATCATACTACAATTTGTCAAGTGATGTAACAATCCTATATCTTTTTGTCTCTCTCCCACTCATCTCCTACCTCTTTTTATTTTTAAGGCGATGATGAAAACAAATTGAAATAAAATATTTAAATTTTTATATTTATTTCAGTAAGTACATTAGGAAAATATTCTCGTATTAATAAAATTTTGGTTGTCAATTGATAGAGTATGACAAATTTAAGTTAACCCTAAAAAGTAAGGGTATTTTTGAACTTTTTTAAATTTTATGAGATGATTGAGGTATCTAAGCCATGTTAGATTGATGTCAATCAACACAAATTGAAGAATCACTTGACCAATATGTTTATGTAAATTTTTTTTAAATTGGTAAACATTCATCATTAGTATTTTTTTTCCGTAATAAAATGTACATATTTATGCATATTTAATTTTTTGCAAAAATAGATTAAATGTAATATTTTTTTATAGTGTTGTAATTAGGACTGTAACTTCACTTTAATCAAGACAACTGTAGATATTTTTATAAGATTTTTAAACAAAAATCAATTCAAACAAAATGCCACTTCAATACAAACAAAATTAAATAGATATTTGTTTATGTAAATATTTTTTGAATTGCTATTTTTAAACAAATCAACTAGAGATAAAAAAATATTAAACTGAAGTTATAAAAATATTAAAGAAAAAACTATTAAATATTTTTGAAATAATGCTCTACACCAATTGTCAATTAACACATATCATAATATCACAAAATAATAAAAGTCAAAAATAAAAAAATAGTGATACACAAACATAAAATCAATACCAAAAAAAATATATATTAATAATGATTTGGTTGGATTTTGATCTATCACTTTGTAATAAAGAGTCTATTGACATATTTTTTTTATTATATAAATGACACTATCACATCATTTTAGGGTAAAATTTTGCATAAAAATTCTAATGAAATAATATTTTCCAACAAAAAAAAAATAGTTACAAGTAAAAAAAAATAATGATCAGAGTAGAGAGACAAATGATACATAAAATATGAAATGCAAAAACAAAAAATGGTTAGAAGTAAAAAAATAAAATAAAAAATAAAAAATGTACTTAAAGAATGAAAGATTTTGTTTCAAGAATGGAAGAGACTAAATATTAACTAACCTCCAATTGTCTCATAAAGATAGAGAAAAAATGAGTTGCATCATTGCATGAATATCGTATTTATAAGATGAGGAAGATGTGAATGACTTGGAGAAGGTATAATGTATGATAGCTAGGGTTTTGAGGGAGGAAAAATAATTGGTTAGAGAAAGAGTGCACAAAAAGGATCTTTTCCATTTTTCCTTTTCTAAATCATAAATCATAATTTTTTTTAAATTATTTTTTAAACTTAGAAATTCATAAATTTAGTATGGAAAACAACCAAATCAGTTCATTTAATTTATTTATAGGGAAACAATTTAATTATAAAGAAATAACCAAATTAGTTTTGCAAATTAATTATAAGGAAATAAAATCAATCAAACAAAACAATTTAAATTGATTCTTGTTTAATTTATTTTAAGGAAAGAAAAATTTTAAGTAATGATTTTAGAAGGTAGACAAATAAATTAGAAGGTCAACAAATCGTGTTTCTACATTTGATTTTAGTAAATGATCATCTTTTAGGCAATGATCTTAGGAGATGGACTTGAAGATTTTTTATTTATTTTTTTTTTAATTTGAAAATTATGTAAAACATATGAATAGTTTATTAGTTTTTTTAAATTGAAAAAATGAGAAATTGAGATTGAGCATGTAGAGCTCTTACATTTTTTCTCATTAGAAATCTCATTTTCCTATATATAGTATAGATAGAAAGGACTCATTGACTATAAAATGTGAATACTCTAGTGTGTTTGTGAAGTAGACCTATGCCAAATCATATAAATCTGAGTATCATTTCTCTTTCTTAGATTTGTATAATTGTATAGTTCTTTTACTCTATATGTTAAAAAAAATAAATAATATACAAGCTCACTTTTCTATCCATTTTGAGTCTTAGTGATGTGTAAAAAAGATGATTTGTTAATGATAAGGGAAGAGAGAGAGAGAGAGAGAGAGAGAGAGAGAGAGAGTGTGAGTTATCTTAGATATTCTAATAGACTATCGCATCATTAAGTTCAAAAAATGAATCTAACTTTTGAACTAAAATAGCACTACTCTATTTGAAATCATCAACTATTTTAGTGTGGTTGAGTTTTCTTGGGACCCTTTGCACAACAAATTGATATTAAAGCTTGGGTGATGACCTATGCATCGTTTTGGCTTCCATTGAAGATTCTATGATTGTTTGTAGTTTATGAAGATATGAAGATTGAAACCAAAATTGTCATAAATCTTCTAATAATTTGTTCTTTGGAAGAGAAATTTAAAGATGATCATTCTTAATTTCATTTTTTTGGGAGATAAACTTTGGTTTTGGATATTTCGCTTGTAACTTTTCTCAATGTGTTAATCTATCCCTTGGATATCTAAATTAAGAGCATATGCATTTGGATTTGGTAGAGATAATCATTTGGAGACTCGATTTAGTCTTTAGGATTATTGATAAATTTTGAAATTTGGTTGTTACTTTAGAACATTTAATTAATTTATTTATATATATATATATATATATATATATTTTTTGAGTTTGTTTTGGTATTTTAAGAATTTAGTTAGGTCTCGTTTGAATCGGCTGTCTATTTTGGTTTGTTCAGTTGAGAGCTCATTCGGTTCTTTTGGAGTTGGCTCAATTCCTTTGTTCACTCATTCGTTTGGCTCACTTGCTTTGGTTTGAATTTGTTAAGACCAAGTTTGTTTCGGTATTACAATAAGTTTGGACTGGCTCGATGTATCTCACGCATTGGCTTGGTTTTATTTTGGTTGGCTTCAAGGCCTTTCTTTTTGTCAAAAAGTTATTTGTTTGGTTAGTTAGCTTAGAATGTTAAATTATATATTTTAATTTATTTATTTATTTATTTGTTTTGGTGACGAATTGGAGATGGACGAGTTTGTTAATCTACAAAGTAAGAGTTTGTTTAGTTTTACTTTTTTATTGATATTACCATACATATATTTTGACTGTGTTGTTGTAGTTTATAATTTCACCATAATGGTTGTTATATTTTTATCGATACTATCAGACATGCATTTTCACTATGTTTTTGTTTTATGAAAATGAGCTGATTTTTATATTGATTTACAGTTGATATTATATTGAATAAATTATTAAAATGAGCAAGTTTTTTTTAGTGAAAAAGAATTAACATTGAAAATATTAGCCCCAGTTTTTAAATTTTGGTTATTTTAAGTGACAAAAAAAAAAAATAGACACTTTCAGTGTATTTGGTTTGAGTTTTTTGAATTAAGTTTTTTGAAAACTGAATTTTTTAGTTTTCATGTTTTTTTTTGTTTTTAGTGAATATTTTTAAAATTTTAAACATCATGACCCCATAAACTGTTCAGTGTCCTCTACACCGTTATGACACCACCATCTAGTGTCCTCTACCACGTTATGACACAACCATCCAGTGTCCTCTACCACGTTATGACACACCCATCCAGTGTCTTCATCAACGGTCTGACACGACCATACAGTGTCTCCTATCCTCTTTTATTTTTATGTATTTTCTTGTTTTGTTACTCTCTCCAAACTCAAGTTGGTTAGTTCCTATCCCCCTTGAGTTTGTGGGGGACTGTTAAAACCTACACCTACCACACACACTCACCTACTCTCCACCTACTCCCTACACCTACATCTATATAAGGAACCCCTCAACATTTGTAATATATCAATACATCAATCAATAATACATCAATTTTAACACCTTTGTTCACTCATTCGTTTGGCTCACTTGCTTTGGTTTGAATTTGTTAAGACCAAGTTTGTTTCG